AATACGTGAATTATCAAAGCTATCATTGAACGGTCGGAATACTGTCAACGCTTGCCAGGTGTCGACATGTTTATTCAGCTATCCGGTCTTGACAAGTTAAAAAGAAGCGAGTTACTATTGATTCAGATGTAACCTACCGATAGTCTTATTCCTAGGTCTCTCTACACCCTGCACACGTCCTCGTCTCCTCATGCTGAGAGCTGCCTTGGCCCCTTCGATTTACCTATCGCAAGTATGAAAACTTTGAAAACATTTCCCATGTGATATAAACATACTGACGCCTCTTTTTAGGTTTCCTCGACTCTACGAAACCCACTCGGACGATTGCTCACCCGAAATGTTAGCGATTTTTGTGCCAAATTGCCTCTCGGAACACCGGTTGTCGATCAGTCACTGGAGATTCCCTATCCAAAGGATAAACTACTAGTAGGTGCTTGTCAGTGTTTTCTGCAACAAATCTATAGCCAACATATTGTTTTTGTTGTGAATATTTGTATCTCAAGGCTAAATTTTTTATTAAATCCGTTTCGTAAGCATTCGGCGCTATCGCAAGACAAAGAGGCAGCTTTCTGTATTAAACCTAGGAGGGAGCAAGAAATTCAGAAAAGAACCTAGTGGGAATGAAACTCTCATGCTTGAAATAGAATCCTAGGCCGCGTTCATAGTTCGCGACTCCGGAGATTAGGATAGTACCGCGACAATGAAAACATATGTATTGACGGAGATTAGGATAGTAGTAGAGTAGGAGATTGCGCTGACAAGATTAGATACGTATCGATTGAAATCGCTGGAGAGTAGTAGATTGCGATATTACGATAGTAGGATAGTAGTAGAGTAGGAGATTAGGATAGTAGTAGATTAGGATAGTGCGCTGACAAGATTAGATATGTATTGATCTATTCGCTTGAAGTCGCCCAATCTACTACTCTCCAGCGATTTCAATCGATACGTATCCAATCTTGTCAGCGCAATCTCCTACTCTACTACTATCCTAATATCCTGTCGCCTACTATCCTTATCTCCCGAGTCGCGACTATGAAACGCGTGCTTAATATTCGCTGGACCTTGTTGCCATAAGTGGGATTTGCATGCTCGACCTCATTGACATGTTAGGACATGTTGAGCGTGCACCATAATAGAGACAGCGACGTTTTCGTTTTTTCTTTCATTGAAGGACCGAGCATTTCAACGTGGAATTCTGAGTCTCCTTCTAAGCCAGAGGAATCAGAAAAGGGGGTTTGTCGGCCGTATCGTATTAAGCATAACACGCAGTTGAACTAAGCCTCAGAGAGGAAGAGATATGGCGCTCATTCCCTTGGGACATTTAATTGAAGCAAGGAATCTCAATAGAGAATAATGCCAATGAAATATGAACAATAATTCTAATAGAAAGTCCTGAACCACACTCACCTTATAAGTTTCAGGGCTGAGCTTGAAACGCTCAAACGTGCCCCCACTCCCCATTAAGAAGAAACATAAGAATGATCTGGCAAAGCCGTTGGCTGCGTTGAAATTCACATGTTAGCCTGCTTTCAGAGTTCGCCAACGGGCGGTCGGTGCGCCGACGGCGTCCGAGTTACATTAGCTTGCCTAGAAACTGCATCATGATGCCCCCTTAACTGGAATAGACCCCATAAAAGGGCGCAATGTGGCTCGGAGGGGGGCAGCCGCCGCGCGGGGCGTTGCGGCAACAGGAAATTCGTAAGCAGGGGGGAGTGTAGCCAATTCAGGGGGGTGGGGGTGAGAGCAGTCACTTAGCATGCGTGAGAAGCTGAAATGTCCCGTGAAAAGCTGGATGTTCGAGTTACACTACACACTACATCGCTGAGCCGCGCACCGACTCCCCCCCCCCGAGCCACATTGCGCCCATAAAAGAATAAGTATGAACAGGAAACACACGAATTAAAGCAACACGGCGCGAAAAAAAACATCGAAAAGCACAAGAAATACACCAAAACAACGCCATCGATCGGAGCGCCCCATCTCCTGCGCCCAGCGGTTCACCGGCCCCCCGTCCCCCCCCCCCAAAAAAAAATGTGCCAAAGTGCATATTGACGCTCTTCACACTGTCGGTGCGGTCGGCGCCGTCGGCACCGACCGCACCGATGCGAACCATGAAAACAGCCTTAGCCATGTGTAGACGTGTTGGAGCATTCTGAACCTGTACTAAACATGTATCGGCCTGTATTAGGCATGTGTCACCATGTATTAGAGCAATTCATATGAACTCAGCGGCAACATTATCACTATCTCGCCGAGAGGGCGCAGACAAACATAATTTTCGCACAGAGGGCCGAATTCTCTCCGTAAGACGGTGAAGCTAACATTCAATTAGACGATTATCCTTCTATTTTAAAGCGCTAACTTTGTGTGTCGGTTTGTGTATCTGTATGTGTGTGTGTGTGTGTGTGTGTATGTATGTGTGTCCGTCCGCAAAATGAAGTGAGTGAGAAGGAAGCTCATGGGATAAACAAACCGCTAACAAATCGGGTAGCTTACAGGATTTGAGATATCAATGTTTTGTAGCAGGATAGTTGTGATAACACTCTTAGGGCTATATAAACACCTGCTTAGCACACTTCCGTTCATTCCACATGGTGCTGCAGTGGCAGCTGGAGGGCAGTGGAGAGAGGAAGGGAGGATGAGGAAGGGAAGCGAAAAATCTACCGTCATATCATGATTGTGTCCCTTCTACTGTATGAAACACCATTGTGTTGCATACGCGTCACGTACTACTTGCACTCAGCCCTTATCGCGCCTCTGCGCTCTCTAGCGGGTCCCTCTCCTCTCCAAGGCTTAGTCCTAGGGCATTCCTAATCGTCTGTTGCTCTAGCCATCGCGGCAGGACCATTGAGGAAAAATCAAGTAGTCTGTAAACCGTTGCATACGCGTCACTTCCAGAGGTGTTGGTGTCACAGGAGGAAGGGACCATAGCGGAGGATAGAAAGCTTGCGCAGGAAAGGAAGGTCCCGGCGGTTGACGGGGGACTAATCTGGTACATCAAATAAAATGCTTTCTTCGGCTTTGAGTGTTTGTTTAGAATTTCCCCCCCAAGCCATGCGCGGGCCGAGATGAGGTCATGTTTACTTTCCACGGGTTTCTTCTTTCTCCCTAGGCTCAATTGGGTACCGTAACACACAAAGCCGCGGTGCCCTACGATATCAGTTTTGCACCCCCTCTTCTACTAGCGGGAGAGTCATTGCACATGCTGATCTAAAGAAAAACGCTAATCTTTCAATTTGGACGCTAAGATACCCTCCGGTCACCTCTAGTCTACCACTGTGTGGACTTTCAGGCCACATACATATGGATTGATGGTACAGGAGAAGCAATGAGAGATAAGCAGCGCACACTGGCTAAGGATCCCGGCGCACCAGAAAGTGAGCGTTCATAAAATTATGTTGCTTGATAGATTGCCCCACTAACGTTCGTTACAGATTACCCTAATTGGAGTTTTGACGGATCGTCAACGTTTCAAGCAGAAAAAGGAGAAGATTCTGACATGATTCTTAAGGTGACAAATGGTTTTCTTATTCAATATAAAACGAGATAGATTATTGATTTCAGCCGGTAGCCGTTTATCCAGATCCATTTTGTGGAGGCCATCATAAGCTCGTCCTCTGCGAAGTTCTCGACGCTCACTCAAAACCAGCAAGTGCGATAGTTATCTATTTTATTAATAACATACGAACGAGATCTGGTATCACAGATCTGGTGATCAAACTTTCCCGGACAGTTTGCTGAATGGTTCAAAAACGTACTAGTCCGCTGGTCCGGCAGTCGGGAGTGCGCGCCTTTGCCGTCTACTGCTCGACTCCTACGCTCCATGAACTTGTTGCAAATCTCTCACACAACTGGTTGAGCGAGGCTCAGAGCAGCTGCAGAATGCCTGAAGTAGTCCACAAGCCTTTTTAGTATCTGCTACCCAAAACCCAACATTGACGAAATGGGCTCGAGCCTCGAGGCCGTATGCCCAGGTTTAGGAGGCAGATGGGCTAGAAAAGTCATTTCGCCCATGGCGCGCACTACCAAACTTTTCGTCACCTAAGTTGTCGCCCTTGATGGATGCTATCGGAGAGATATTCCTTGGATGTCTCTCCACATGTAAAATCCTCGAAGAGCGAGATTCTCCCTACCTTCAACCGTCTTTGGAATGTGAAGACATCTGTCATCACCGTTGAACTCAGGGCCTACCTACCGTAACCGTTCCAAGCTGCTACATAATGTCTTCAGTCGGTAACTGGTACATAGCTTCCTAGAGACAGCAGCTTACTATGCAACACCCCTTCCGATAAATACTATGCAATACCTCCAAGATAACGTGGTAATGGCCCACGATCCGTGGGGGACCCCGTTGAGTTCGAACCGTGCACCCTGTTCCCAATGAAAATCTTCTGATGCCGTCTGTGGAGTAGTCTATTTTGGTGTTTTCCATAGAGTGTAATGTGCTCTGAAATATTCAGTGGAGCGCATTCGTTCAGAATCTAACAAAATACATTTTCTGTTTTAATTCCGGGGGAGAGTAATTTTTTATGCCCCCTGCAGAGGTTGAAGGTCTTAGGCGTGCACCGCTGCGGTTGTCGATTTCTACCACGACAGCGCCCAAGCTCCCACAACAAGGGCTTATCATGCTGAACTGGGGGAGAATGCTAGCTTGTGACCCAACAGTAGACTGCTGCCCTCTCTTCGCTCCTTCCAATTAGTCGCTTTCGGTCCCCAAATTTTAGTGAATAGGAAGAAAAGTCCAAGTCAGAGATTAGGTCAGAGAGGCAGCTCTCGGTGAGTTCACAGTCTACCTGAGCGTTAGCATTGAGTGGACGGGAATGTTGTCATCCTCTAGTTTACAAACCATTCGTTTCGAAATATCTGCGAAAGAGGCGCTTTCGAATCTTCGTGCATCAACCTATTAATCAGAACTTCCGAAAAATGAAATTTACCTTGAGTCTGTGAATATTTTGAAATTTTTAGGAACAAACCATCGTAGCGCGTGTAAAGCAGTGATGGACAAAATTGCACACACAAATCCTCTCTTCGGGATGGAGCAGGAATACCTTCTGCTAGACCGCGATGGCTATCCCCTCGGATGGCCAAAGCACGGTTATCCTGCTCCCCAAGGTTCTAAATAATACTGTCTCACTGACTAGGCGCATTTCTCAGAATGAAGTTGTTTAGGTCCGTACTATTGTGGAATAGGAGCTGATAGGACGTTTGGCCGTGAAGTGGTTAGCACGCATTATAGAGCAGCACTTCACGCGGGTCTCGAATTGTTCGGAACCAATGCCGGTGGGTCATCCGGAACTTTTTTTTCTTGGGAAATTGTCTTTACATTGATGAAAGATCCGGCCATTGAATTCAGAGAGTTTCAGGACAACCAGACATTTTTTCTCAGACAAAGAAAATTTGAATTGATTATGATTGCATGCTTAAATATTGTCCAAAAGCAATGAGAAAATACTAATGAAGCTTTTGCCCTGAAAATGTACAAATAAATCCGATTAGTCGAAAATAAGGTTTTCTTCTTATTGTATCTACTGTTTTTGGGCGCAGTTCGAAATGCAAAAGTTATCCCAAGAGTGGGGGTAGATCTCGCCGCCACAAGCGAAAATTGGACCCGGGCCCCTAAATTTCGACGCGGCTGCGCTACGCATTACGCTAACGTCCACTGATACAGCTTCATCCACTTTCTGATGATATCTAGTGTCTAATCTATTTCCCCGCCTGGGGTTGCGTTTTGCCTATAACCCAGCATTCTTGTAACACACTTTGGCATGGCGGGCTGTGGCCTAAAACAGAAGATAACAAGCAAAAAAGTCGAAATTTAAAAATTTGCCGAGAGCTTCCAAACGCTCCACAAGTTCGACTGGTCGTATCGCCGTCTATTACGCTATACGTGCAAGCCCTTATATGGTATGGTAAACTTGGATTAATGTAAAACGGTACCACGATGGTGCAAGTGGTAGCTTAATTGACCGGAAGCCGAGTTAGCGCTTCGGATTCCTTCCAAGGCAAGGAGTTTGAGATAACCCAGCATTTTTGCCTTGAATTGTATAATGTTGAATTTTACTACAATGCACCAGGCAGTGCTCTACCAATGTGAGGTATATCAAATTGAACAACTAGTAGGACCCTTTGAAGGCGGTTTTACCATAAATAGGCCGTTCTTCAGAAATAAGGGTAGAGAGGGTCAGTGGTGCAAGGATGAAGAAAATTCACGAGAAGCGGCTCAGAATCTAAGAGATGAGCCCATTCCTTGAACTTGGATTCTGCATTGATGGCACTGATGCGACTCTCATCGGTGCTGCTCTCCTCAACGCTAGCGATCTCTCTGCTAAAGAAAGGGGGTCAGATAGAGGGTCAGATAGGGATGCAGAGGGGTCAGATAGCAAGAGGGAGGCGTGCCGCTCCGATAGCTCCGCCGACAGCGCAACGGGGGAGGGCCATGCTAGATCGCCAGGGGCCCCCCTTCGCTGCGGATTGCGTGTCGGTCCGCATCCTTGAGGAATCCGGAGGGCTTTCCCCTTCCTCAACCTTCGACCTTATCGTGGAACTCCTCCTTTAAGAAAACATTGCAAATATTATGATAATAATCATACATACAGTAATACGACTATTTCTAGAAGTAACACCAGGCCAGTGGGAATTTCAACTAGGGCAGTGCAAGGGAATTGAAA